AACTGCAGACGCGGGAGACCCATCGAACCTCCTCCTCTTTCACTGAAGTTGCCAGTGTGGAAGTATTTTGGATTTCCAGTGAGTTATGTCGACAACGTTCGTGTTGTTGACAAGAAAATAAAAAAACACACAGCTTGCAAGCTCTGCTAATGTACGTATACCACATTGTTCCACCGGCAGCACGACTAACATGGCAGGGCATCTCCGCAGGCACCACAAAAACATAGATTAATCTGTTAAACCGAAAAGTGCAGCACAAACTACTCTCCCGTCTTCATTTGGAATAAAACTTCCAAGTAACTAAACGCGTTCAAAGGCAATTAAAAGCACAGTAGGAGTATTTACAGACACGGACATGCGACCTTATTCAGTGGGAGAAAACTCCGGTTTTAAGCATTTAATTAGCGTGTTAGAACCGCGCTACAAAATCCCAAGTGGAACGCATCTTACAGCTACGGTGAGACCCTCCATGTACAATAATGTAAAGGAGAAAGTTATTGAAGGTCTTAGCAGTGCACATTTAGTAGCCTTGACTGCAGATTGCTGGACCTTCAGAGCAACACAGAGCTTCATGACTGTCACAGCGCACAAAGGTCAGATATTACTATGTTGCGTAAAAGTCTTAAAATGGCATAGCTTTTGCGTTCAAATTTTAATGTTTTAATTGAGAATCGAACTGTGACTTTAGAATCGAAAATGTAATCGAATCGAGGATTTGGAGGATCGTGACGCCCTTACTAGTGACGTCACTGTGAGGGTTGGGGTCAGGCGTATGCATTAAAAGCATTGCATGCATTCTCAGCTTACATCTGCAGCCAGACCCTTCTCGAAAAATTCATTATCCTCAATGTTCACAAAATATATTATCCATGATGTTGTGCATAAAAACGATATGATCTACGATAGGGCGAAGAAAAAATTACAGTATCCATGCTGTGCAGAAATTTCCATGATATTATGCACAAAAACAGACCGTATCCATCATTTTATGTAGAAAAACTACATTGTAATGTTAGTCATCATTTTAACACCAGGCATGCATTAAAAGGAAATTTTTTGCTTCCCAATTCAAAAACTAATGCAAAGCAACGTACCATGATGTATAGAGGAATGAAAATATGGAATGAATTGCCATCAGACATTACATGCTTTGTAACAAGTAAAATGAGGTTTAAAAAATCATTTAAAAAATATTTAATGGAACAATATTAAGTGGATTGTTGATTTGGATGTTATGTATGAATTTTGTATTTTAATGTTTTTATTGGTCTTTGTTGTTGTGTATTAATGTAATTTTGTGTTATGTTCGATGGACCCCAGGAAAAATAGCCACTACCTTGGTAGTGGCTAATGGGGATCCTGATAAATAAATAAATAAAATTATCCATGATATTATGCAGAAGAAATGAAAACTTCATTTCTGAGAGTGCATGTTGTTGCGCAGAAAAACTACATCTGAAACATTGTGCAGGAAAACTTCATTATCCACGATGATGTGTTGAAAATTTGACCAATCAGAGCAAAGCATAAGAGGAGCTCCTTATCTCCGCCTGTTTCTATGAACCTCCACTAATGTCGTATAATATATACATACTGTTATGCAAGGTATAGTTTTAACTAGGCCCACACAGAATCTGTGCGCGCACAACTCCGCAGATTCTCCACAGATTTCCGCAGCTTTTTAGCCCATCATTAATTGTTTATTTACTTGAGTAAATGTGTGTAAATCTATATTTATTCAGTTTTGAATTAAGTACAGTAATATTATTGACTAATATAAAAATGTTCATCTGATTTATGTGCAGTGCAGTTTGTACAGTAATATTTTCTGTCTTTTAGTAGAGATATTATATGAGAGACTTGCTTTATTTACCAAATAAAGTCAATCTAATTGGATTTGCATTTTAAACATTCATTCATTAAATTTCTTTTCGGCTTAGTCCCTTTATTAATCCGGGGTCGCCACAGCGGAATGAACCACCAACTTATCCAGCAAGTTTTTTACGCAGCGGATGCCCTTCCAGCCGCAACCCATCTCTGGGAAAGATCCACACACACACACACACACATACACTACGGACAATTTAGCCTACCCAATTCACCTGTACCGCATGTCTTTGGACTGTGGGGGAAACCGGAGCACCTGGAGGAAACCCACGCGAAGGCAGGGAGAACATGCAAACTCCACACAGAAACACCAACTGAGCCGAGGTTCGAACCAGAGACCTTCTTGCTGTGAGGCGACAGCACTACTTACTGCGCCACTGCCTCGCCCACATTTTAAACATCAAAGTTAAAAAGATATTATTTTTTATTTCACATATTAAGGTTTTAGTTATGATACTCCCAAAATAATTCCGCATATTTTTACCAAAATTCCCTGCAGAAATGGCAAAAAAACAACTACAGATTCCATCTGGCCCTAGTTATAACCAACAAGTTTAAATGACATTTTTAACATTTATTTTGAATTACATTGTCATTCACGGCACTTCTCTCAACTCTTTTCCTCATTAATACATTATTTACACAATCCTTTTTTCCAGTTCCTTCAAATTGTGGTTTGTAGCTGGTTGCATTTAGTTGATGGCTTTTAGTGCTTTAACAAAGACATTCAAATGAATGGAGTGAATAGAAAACTAATGGAAAAATACTTTTTGGACCAACAAAAATGGGCGGGCACTAATGCACTATACTTTCCGCTCGACCAATGGTGCTAATGTCTGGGCGGGGCTAAGTGTATAAACTCTAATGCCACCTGTGATGCTGAAATTACAGCTCATAGCAGCTCCAGTGCATTTTCCATTGTGCTGATGGATTGTGCGCGTGTGTGTTACTAAAGGATAAATATAGATAACAGGCTGTATTTGTGCCCATTAATGGATACACTTCTACCACATTCATTTCTAAACTGCTGTGAGCCACAGGCAACAATCCTTCCCACATGAAGGAAAAATACTACAGTAATTTATATTAAATATTCCAGTGTTTTAACCCATACTATTGTAAAAGCATATAATACTGTATAATAGTACAACACTTTGTTAGGCTACAGCATTATTGTTTTATTAACTGTATTAAACTGATAAACATTAATAAATACTGTAGTACACAGTGCGCTGCATAAATGTGTACCCCATTTTGAAAATAGGTAATACACTCACAGGCCACATTATTAGGTACACCTTTCCAACTGCTCGTTACTGCAAAATTCTCATCAGCCAATCACATGGCAGCAACTTAATGCATTTAGGCATGTAGACATGGTCAAGACGATCTGCTGCAGCTCAAACTGAGCATCAGAATGGGGAAAAAGGGGGATTTAAGTGACTTTCAACAATGCATGTTTGTTGGTGCCAGACGGCTGGTCTGAGTATTTCAGAAACTGCTGATCTACTGGGATTTTCACACACAACCATCTCTAGGGTTTGCAGAAAATGGTCAGACAAAGAGGAAATATCCAGTGAGAGGCAGTTCTTTGGGCGCAGATGCCTTGTAGATGCCAGAGGTCAGAGGAGAATGGCCAGACTGGTTCCAGCTGATAGAAAGGCAACAGTAACTCAATAACCAGCGACGAGATGATCCCAAGGTTTCCATAATCCTGGACCAGGCCGTATCCTAAGCAGCTGCTGTGGTGGTCTAGGCCTCTAGCGCCTAGACTGCAGCTCTGCACAAGATGTTTGGCCATGGGAGAAATTGTCGTGCCCAACTGAGCCTGGTTTCTCTCAAGGTTTTTTAATTCTTCACTTTCAGTAATAGGTGAAGTTTGGCTTGCATGGTTCGGGACCTGTAGAGCTGCGCACCGATGGATTTGCTCTTCAGTGTTTGGACTCTCAGTATTGAATATCAGAGCACACTGAACTGAGAACAAATAACCACTCGTTACAACCGAGGTCTGCAGAAGAGCATCTCTGAACGCACAACATGTCCAACCTTGTGGCAGATGGGCCACAGCAGCAGAGGACCACACCGGGTGCCACTCCTGTTAGCTAAGAGCAGGAAACTTAGGCTACAATTCACTCAGGCTCACCAAAACTGGACAATAGAAGACTGGAAAAAACGTTGCCTGGTCTGAGTCTTGATTTCTGCTGCAACATTCGGATGGTAGGGTCAGAACTTGACATCAACCACATGAAAGCATGGATCCATCCTGCCTTGTATCAACAGTTCAGGCTGGTGGTGGTGTAATGATGTGGGGGAATCTCTGAGGAATATTTCCAGCACCTTGTTGAATCTCTGCCACGAAGGATTAAGGCAGTTCTGAAGGCAAAGGGGGCCCAACCCGTTACTAGTAAGGTGTACCTAATAAAGTGGCCAGAGTGTTATTTTGTTAGATTAGCCTCATACGGACTTATTTAATGCAAATGTCCAAATATAATAATGTATAGCATTTTATCATAAATATTATTTAAAGGATACTTAGTGGTGTAGTCATATACAGGGTGTATGCTGAGCACTGTACTTTAGTTTGTACTACAGTAAACCGGTGTATTGTAGTATAATATACCCCAGAGTTGTAGAAAACTGAAGCATTGAGTCACTTGTTTATATTGCTATAGTGGTTGTGTTACCATAGCAACTATTAAACTACCACAACAGACAAAATTCAAACACACACACACACACTAATTTTTGCTGCTTGTTCAAACTGCTTAATTAAAATGAGCTAAAACTACACAACTCTGGAGATTTTTTGGGGGGGCAACTTAATTTTTGATGTTCAATCCACTTAAATTTGTTTTGTTAACTTAATCGATTTGTGTTGGGACGAAATTAATGAGTTGTGTGAAATATTTTACAGTGTATGCTTCAGAAACACATTAGTATCTACTTTATCTCACAGATAAACCCACATGATAGTCATTTAAAGTCAATTTAATGATGTTGAATCTGTGTATGAGTGTATAATAAATGTTCTTATTCTCTCTCTCTCTCTCTCTCTCTCTGTCTGTCTGTCTGTGTGTGTGTGTGTGTGTGTGTGTGTGTGTGTGTGTGTTCAGGAGGTCTAAGGGTGACGTGTGAATATATGGCCCATCAGGAGGGAGTGATGTGTGAGGAGGTGCAGATTCTTAGCGAGAGCAAAGAGGACGTGTGTGTGAAGGTCAAAGTTCACGCTCGTGTCATGGGTAAGTGGCCACAGTTTGTCCATTATTAATTGTTTTGACATTCAGGGAGTCTGTTTTAGCTTGTTGTTGACTATATTGAATGATGCCGATGCTCAATGTGAGGATATTTGCTGCCCTCTGCTGGTGTTTTTATGTAGAACTGATCAGAGAAATATTAAAGGTACAGTACATGTGCATTTGTTCAATCTACAATATATGTGGCATAGTGTTGATTTCTCTGATTGGTACTGTCAGGAGGGTGGGGCCAACCTGTCAATCATGAGATCCACCAATCGCAAAACTCATCCACCAAACTTTGAGACCCGCACTGGATTGTTTACTAAGCTGTTTCTCATAGGCTGCGTTCCAGTGCAATTGTTTATGCACTTTGCTCGCTAATATCCCTCTGTCTTGGCGGATGTACATCATTGATTACTTCACACAAGTGTCCACTACTGGCGGAGCATCTGAATGGGTTTAAATGAAAAGCGCAAGACTGCGTTCCTGTTCACATTTAGACACACACTCGTGAACTTCCCTTCCCTTGTTCCCTCGGGGAACCCCCAATGACATTTAAAAGTGCGTTCCCCTTCATCAAGGGAAGCTTAAATGGGCACACCCTCGATTTTGAGAGTGGGAGCGAGTGGGTTTCATATGTCCACTCCAGCACCTACAGAGGTTGGACAATGAAACTGAAAGCCTGGTTTTAGACTACACTAATCCGTTAGTATGTTGTTGGGCCTGCTTTTGCAGCCAATTCAGAATCAGTTCATCTTGAGAATGACAGATACAAGTCCTGCACGGAGGCCAGAGGGATTTTGAGCCATTTTTATGGCAGAATAGTGTTCAGGATGAAAAGTTTCCAGACTTGCTCCTCCAAAACACCGCAAAGTGGCTCAATGATACTTGGGTCAGGCCATGGGAGATGTTCAAGTTTATTAAAAGACTATCACCAGTCCTGCTGTCTGTATTTGTACATTATCCTGATACATGGCACCACCTTCAGGATACAATGTTTGAACCACTGGATCCACGTGGTCCTCCAGAATGGTTTGATAGTCTTTGGCAGTGCCCATCTAGCACAAGTATTGGGTCTAGGGACGGCCATATTGCAGCCCAAACCATCACCAGCCGCGTTTTCACTATCGCGCCTAAAGCAAGCGAGCCAAGGCCAGTCACGTTTCCACTGTCACTTCCGGGGCCTGATCGGGCCAAAGTGGAGGCTTCCTCTGGGCCAGCGGCCGGCCTTTTTCGGCCCACCCAATACCTTGGGCTAAAGAGGGCCAGCTGGGGCTTCGGGGTGGAGTGAAAGGAGTGGCGGACTTTGCCCAAGTCTGTTAAAGATGGCATGCCGTCATTACACTAGTTTTGCGATCGCACCCAAGTACATGCGGCAAACAAATAAATAAATAAGTTGAAGAAAACATATAGCTGGTCAGTATAAGATGAGCTATTCCATAAAACACCTTATAGGCTACGTTTTTATTTTGCTTATGATCGCCCTTATGTTTCCCTCTTAAATTTAAGGCTTCATAAAATAATAAAGCTTTTTTTTTGTTGCTGCGTCCTCCTTGATGTTTCAATAAGGCTTAATAACCTTTACACCATATTAAAGACACAGCAGACAGTAAAGGTTGTCAAGAGTTTTTGTCAAGTTTAAAAGGTGTGTTTGTGCGCGTTTAGATGACTGTATGTGTTTGAGAGACCGGCTGGGTTTCTTTTTTTTTTTATTTAATTTGGAGATAATACACAATCTGAATACCACAGAAAAACATAAAACTTTACAAATTACATGCCCATTTTTTTTAAGCTCAAAACAATAGTGTCATATCTTAATAAATAGCCTAAGCTATATTGAAATAATTTAAAGAATTACAAATATCGGATATATTAAAATCACATTAAATGAATAAACCAATATAAAACAAGCAACAGCTAGCTATAACAATGTAGGTATATACAATACATAAACCAAACTGTTTTAAGCCATATATAAGTTTCACTTTACAAAGGCAAATCTGAAAAAAAAGATTTGAGATATTTTCTAAAAACAATAAACACCAGAGAAGGTTTAAAATATATTTATTAAGTATTTGGATACGCCTATATTTATCAAATCGTGCAAACAGCATTTTTTTGGGTGCGTGATAGAAGAAACGACCTTCTTTTCTGTCCTGCGCAGCGCCGCTTTACAAACGCATCGGGGAAAACTGCAAATACAAAATCCTCAATCAAGTGTTTATGTTTTTATATGACAAGGTGAAATTTAAAAATTGGATTTTAAATGAAGAGCTTTATTAGTGAAAAGCTGCTGAGCGCAACAAAATATCGGCTATACTTGCTCTTATGTGCTGAAACCACACTTAACTTAAGATCACAGAATAATATGCAACATCCTTAAATCACTGGCTCCCAGTTACATTCAGAATAGAGTTTAAAGTATTATCACTGCTCTATAAATCACTAAATGGCCTAGGAGCTCAATACATCACAGATATGCTCACTGAATACAAACCTAACAGATCACTCAGATCTTTAGGATCATAAAAACTAGAAGTTCACTCAGTTCACTAAGAGTTCAGTCAAAGCAGGGTGAATCGGCTTTCAGCCACTATGCTCCTCGCTGCTGGAATCAGCTTCCAGAAATGATCAGATGTGCTCCAACATTAGGCACATTCACTTCAAGACTGAAAACACATCTGTTTAGCTGTGCCTTTACTGAATGAGCACTTTGCTGCGTCCGACAGATCGCACTATTATGTCTTTCTTTTCTTTTTCATTATCTTATAACATATTTTAACACATTTGTATCTGTTTTATCTATTTATTTTATTTTATTTTTATTTTATTTTTATTTCATTTTTATTATTATTAGTTGAAAATTAATGTTTTCATTTTCTTACACTTGTCTCTTTTATTCTTGTTTATGTAAACCACTTTGAATTGCCACTGTGTATGAAATGTGCTATATAAATAAACTTGCCTTGCCTAAATGAAGGGGAATCACCTATTAAGTGTCAAATAGCCTATAGGGAAAAATGAATGTTTCAGGTGTCTCCAGAGCATTTGGGCTAAATGTTTGACGGCGTCTATCAAAACGAGGATGTTATAAAATACACTTCATACCGAGTTATTAACGGAGAATTTCTGTGGTTTTTAATTATGGTTGGGTGCGCTCATTTCGCTGGGTCCCTCCGTTAGTGGCGAGACCACTCTATTTCGATGCCAACAGTCGGTCGGTGAGTGTACAAATATAATAAATAAGAACACACAGGCCCGTTCATATAGACATATAATGTAATGCTGTACAGTAACGTTTGCGTGACACACTGCAAGCTACAAGCCAGACAGTGGAAGCGCGACATGATTTCCGCCTCACTACTCAACCTCCCGGGCGATTGGCTCGGCCCGGTAAAATCCCTGGCTCGCACTGGCCCGACAGTGGAAATGCGGCAGTCTGGGTGGTATTCTTTTTTGGGGCTTCTCCACACGTAACTCTCCCGCACTTTGAAATGCTGCTGGGGATTCCACCAGGAGAACAAGGAAGTTTGCGAGTGCATTATTAAAAGTGGATTGGAGCGCAGCAGAAAAGACTATTTCATAATAACATGTCTACAAACACCTCCCCCCCTCTCTTTATCAGACCGTCATCACGGGACTCCGATGCTGCTGGAAGGTGTGCGGTGCATTGGAGCAGAGCTGGAGTACGACTCGGAGCAAAGCGACTGGCAAGGCTTCGACTGATCGCCCGAAACTCACTTCAAACTTCTCAATCCGTGCCACATATCCGGTTTTGGCAGTGACGGAATATTCTAGATTCTGGAAGTCTGTCGCCGGCTGCTCAGCAATGTCTCTGCTTTCTGCTCAGTGTTTGGAAAGGGCACTGTGCTTTCTTGGTTTTACTTACTGTTACAATAGAATGCAGGAATGATCTGTTTACTGTAGCTCTCTGTGATTTCTTTTTTTTTTTGTATTTCAGGTTTGGAAACAAAACAATCAAATAGCCTGTACTGCAGGGGTGGCCAACCCTGTTCCTGGAGAGCCACCTTCCTACAGATTTCAGTTGCAACCCATATCAAACACACCTGCCTGTAATTATCACGTGGTTTTTAGGTCCTAATTAATTGGTTCAGGTGTGTTTGATATGGGTAGCAACTGAAATCAGCAGGAAGGTGGCTCTCCAGGAACAGGGTTGGCCACCCCTGCTGTACTGTATAAAGCGATTTGTAACTTAAAATAGTGAGTAAACCCATTGTCTTAAAGAGACAGTTCACCTAAAAGTGATAATTCTGCCATCATTTACTCACCCTTCACTTGTTTAAAACCTTTTTGAGTTTCTTTATTTCGTTGAACACAAAATAAGATTTTCTGAAGAATGCTGATTGCTGGCGCCCATTGACTTCAATAGTATTTTTTTCCTACTGTGGTGATTGATGGACGCCAGCAACCAGCATTCTTCAGAATTTCTTCATTTGTGTTCAACAGAACAAAGAAACTTTAAAGTAAAGTCAACTAATAACTTTTTAAAGGGATAGTTCACCCAAAAAGATTCATCATTTGCTCACCCTTGTTTTAATCCTTTATTAGTTTCTTTCATATGTTGAAAGCTGAAAACCTGTAACCATTGACTTCCAATAGTAGATCAAACAAATGCTATGGAAGTCAATGGTTACAGGTTTTCAGCGTTTTCTCAATGTCTTCTTTTGTGTTCAACAGAACAAAGAAACTCAAAGGTTTAAAACCACATAAAAAGAGAATGAATAAGGGTCACTTTCATTTTTGGGTGAACTTCCCCTTTGAAAGTAACAAGTTTACTTAAAGTGATTAAACCCATTGTAACATGGAACTTGTAAGTTGATCGTTTTTTTATAATCATGCAAACAGTTCATTTACTAAATATTAATAAAGCAACAGGTTTACTCACTTTTTTTTAAAGTAAAGGCAACTACTAACTTTGTAAAGGAAAAGTTCACCCAAAAATGATTCATCATTTGCTCACCCTTGTTTCAACCACATATAGTTTTTTTTTTCATATGTTGAACACAAAAGAGGTTTTGAAGAATGCTAAAAAAACTGTAACCATTGACTTCAGTATTTGTTTTTCCTACGATGGAATACATTGGTTAAAAGTTTTTAACTTTCTTCAAAATATCTTCTTTTGTGTTCAACAAACAGAAAAAACTCAAAGGTTTAAAACCAAACAAGAAATTGAAAATTTTCATTTTTGGGTGAACTACCCCTTTAAAAGCGACACGTTTACTTGAATACATAAACCCATTTTAGGCAACTAATCACTTTTTAAAGGGTCAATTAACCCAAAAAATGATCCATCATTTGCTCAACCTTGTTTCAAACCTTCATAAGTTTTTTCTTCTGTGGAACACAAAAGAAGATATTTTGAAAAATGCTGAAAACCTGTAACTATCGACTTCCATTGTATTTGTTATACCTACTATGGACATCTTTCACATTTTTGCAGCTTTCTTCAAACTATCCTTCTTTGTATTCAACAGACTAAATAAACTCAAAGGTTTAAAACCACATGAGAGAAAATGAATAAGGTAATTTTCATTTTTGGGTGAACTACCCCTTCAAAAGTGACAATATTACTTTTACCTAAAGTGATTAAACCCATTGTAACATGGAACTGTTAACTTGACTTAATTTTTATAATCATGCACACAGTTCATTTCCTAAGCATTTTTAAAGTAACAAGTTTACTCACTTTTTTAAGTAAAGGCAACTAATAACCATTTTAAAGGGACAGTTCACCCAAAAATGATTCATCATTTGCTCATCCTTGTTTTAACCACATATAAGTTTCTTTCATATGTTGAACACAAAAGAAGATATTTTGAAGAATGCTGAAAATCTGTAACCATTGACTTCCATAGTTGTTTTTCCTACAACACAAGTCAATGGTTACAGGTTTTTAACTTTCTTTAAATTATCTTCTTTTGTGTTCAACAAACGGAAGAAACTCAAAGGTTTAAAAATACACAAGAAATTAATGAGAATTTTCATTTTCGGGTGAACTACCCTTTTACAGGTGACAAGTATACTTGCATGCAAAACCCCATTTTAACTTGGAACTGTTAAGTTGATTTAATTTTTATAATTCTGCACACAGTTCATTTACTAAATAATTGTAAAGCAACAGGTTTACTCATTTTAAATTAAAGTTAACTAATCACTTTTTAAAGGGACAATTAACCCATAAATTTATTCATCATTTGCTCAACCTTGTTTCAAACCTGGGAGTTTTTTCTTCTGTTAAACACAAAAGAAGATATTTCGAAGAATGCTGAAAACCTGTAACCATTGACTTCCGTAGAATTTGTTTCATCTAGTATTACAAGTCAATGGTTACAGGTTTTTAGCTTTCTTCAAAACATCTTTTGTGTTTAACAAACAGAAGAAACTCAAAGGTTTAAAACCACAAAAGAAATTAAATGAGAATTTACATTTTTGGGTGAACTACCCCTTTACAAGTGACAAGTTTACTTAAAGTGATTAAACTCATTGTACCTATTAAGTTGAGTTTTTTTTTATAATCATGCACACAGTTCATTTACTTAATATTTATAAAGCAACAGGTTTACTCACTCTATAGTCAACTAAAAACTTTTTAAAGGGATAGTTCACCCAAAAAGGGATTCATCATTTGCTCACCCTTGTTTAAAACCTGGGAGTTTTTTCTTCTATTGAACACAAAAGAAGATATTTCGAATAATGCTAAAAACCTGTAACCATTGACTTCCGTACAATTTGTTTCATCTACTATTGGAAGCCAATAGTTACAGGTTTTCAGCTTTCTTCAAAACATCTTTTGTGTTTAACAAACGGAAGAAACTCAAAGGTGTAAAACCACACAAGAAAATAAAGAGAATTAAAAAATTTGGGTGAGCTACCCCTTTACAAGTGACAAGTTTACTTGGTGATTAAACCCGTTGTAACAGTTAAGTTGACTTAATATAATTTTTATAATTATGCACACAGTTCATGTACCTAATATTTATAAAGCAATGGGTTTGCTCACTTTTTTAATGGCCACAATTTTTTTTTAAAGGAACATTTCACCCAAAAATGATCCATCATTTACTCACCCTTGTTCTAAACCTTTATAGAAGGAACAGAAAAGAAGATATTTTGAAGAATGCTGAAAACCTGTAACCATTACCTTTCATAGTATGTTTTTTCTATACTGGAAGCCAATGGTTACAGGTTTTCAGCATTCTTCAAAATATCTTCTTTTGTGTTCAACAGAAACTCAAACGTTTTGAAACTACTTGAGAGTGAGCACAGTGAGTAAATGTTCATTTTGTGGCCGAACTGTCTCTTTGAAAAGAGTTTTGCTCTAATTGAATTCCGCTGTTAAGACTGAATGTTTCTTCTAGATAAAGACAAATATAGTATGCTTTCCTGTCTGTGTTACTGCACCTTTCTTGCTCCGATATGATGTGATTGAACACTTTTACGCTCCTGTCTGTGCTCACTGTGAATCAGCCTGTTGTTTGTGCCAGTAGGGGGAGCTGCTGACCATTAAATCAATCCTACATGTTGCAGCATGCACTCTGTTGGCATCATGGCTTAAAAAGAGTGAATGTTTTTGATTCATCTACTGAAACTGATGTGATGCCTATTTACTCGGATCACGTCGGAAAATCGTTTGGTCTGCCCTGATAGATTTGAATGAGATCATCACTTTTTAAGGGCTGTCCGTTCATCCCTCATCCTGGTCTGTTTTGTAGAGCCGAAGTGCCTGAAATCATCTTCAGTCTTAGTTGAATTGATGCCAGCGTGTATTTTGAGCCGTTAAACACTGAATGTTGGCAGCCTTATTCAAGTATACCGAATGTCCATTTAAAGGGATAGTTCACCAAAAGATTGTCATTTACTCATCATTCACTTGCTTAAACCCCGTTTGAGTTTCTTTTGTTGAACATTAAAGAAGATATTTTGAAGAATGCTGAAAGCCTGCAATCATTGACTTCCCAATGGTTACAGGTTTTCAGCATTCTTCAAAATATGTTCTTTTAGGTGTTCAACAGGAGAAACTCATTAAGGTTTTAACCACTTGATTGTGAGTAAATGTACATTATTTGGGGTGAACTGACCCTTTAATTGCATTTATGACGAATTTCATGTGTCTTTTTTTAGTATTTACAAATAATTTCTCCCAGAGCAAATAATGTTGGTGTATCTGTCGGGTTTTTTATTATTCTCAAGTAATAAAATTCACTTTGTTGACTTCGAAAACATTGTTATATTTGTTTGATTTTTTTTTTTAAAGAAAGAAAAAACACTTTAATTCTCGTTATCTATACACGATATTATTTTACAATAGAATTATTTACTCTTTTTTTCAGTTACAAGAATAAAATATTAATGATCAAATAAAATGAATAATAAATACATGTAAAAAAAATAAGTAATTAAACGCAAACAAAATATAAAAAATAGTAAAAGTAATACACATGCATAAAAAATAAAATAATGAGGGTATCCGGTTGCTTTTAGATGGAAACAAACTTTTTTACTTTCCAAATAATCTATAAAGCATGTTTAAGAGTCAAAACTTGTCAGCCTTATCTCTAGCAGAAAATCTTTTTGTTTTATAATAATTGCTGGCAGGGCTCAACAATAAGGACTGCCCGGTGGCCGGGGCCGGCGTGAAAGACCCTCGGGACAGTAGACAGGATTGTTACTGGCCCCTGCACGTAATTTTTTTCCCGTAACCTGGTAACAACCGGTACAGCAAAAATAAGGCAACATGGCGACAACATCAAACTATAAGGCTAAAAGAAAACGTCTGTTTCTAAAGTCTTTATAAGCTAACAATTACATGGATACAAAATTAAGAAACTGGAAAAAAAGAACAAAAAAAAAGAACAAGTTGTCAGTTTGGCAAGCCATTTTTATAAAAATAATTTAGAATTGCA